AACTTACTAAGGTCACATAAGTAAGAAGTAGTAGAACTGAGATACAAATCTACTCTGAATAGAATGCCATGTTCTTTTTTTTTTTTTTTAATAGAAGCATGTTTATTTCTTTATTTATTTGTTTGTTTGTTCTGTTTACACATGCACTGGGTACAGTCAGAAGCGCAGGAGGGTGAGAGAGTTCACCAGAGCCAGAGCGGGGAGCAGAGCAGGCAGAAGGACCGAAGTACACTGCTGAGGGGAGCAGTGGGCGGCAGGAGAGGTCTGCGCGCCATGTGGGACCCTCCTCCGGTGGCCGGGGAGCAGCTGGGGATCGAACCGGCGCCGCAGAGGACGCGGGCAGCTTCGTAACCCAGCGCTCAACCGCTACGCCACCGGGGAGGCCCAGAATGCCATGTTCTTAAGCTTAACTTTTATCATATTCTCAATGCTCACCTATAATTAACATGATGTTGTTTTGGGGCATTGTGAGAAATTGATCTCACAATATCAAATATATATATTTATATTATAAATATCAAATGTATATACATATGATATACATATATACATATATTGTCAAATCAAAATATGCAGTTGAAAATCTAAATATCACTACAGACAAAAAGCCAAGAGATGACCCCAAAATAGGAAGAACTAGCATTTTTGTGACTCTTCTCTATATCTGGCACTTGAAACAGAAGCCCAAATAAGCCTCAACTTTTTTTTTTTTTTTTTTTGGTGGGACCCTCGCCGGCGGCCAGGGAACGAACCGGAGCTGCAGAGGCTGCGGGCAGCCTCGCAGCCCAGTGCTCAACCGCTGCGCCACCAGGGGAGGCCCAAGCCTCAACTCTTACAAGACAGACATTGTCCCCATTTTACAGATGGGGAAATGGTGTCTTGGAGGTTAATGATTCCCATTCACACTGCTGTAAGGGACAAAACCACATTCAAACTTGCATTCACGTAGGTTCGAAGACCAAGCTCCTGTAGTCATTTTTATTAGCATTAATACCTGAGTGTCTGTGCCAATGCTCTTAAAAAAAAATAAAACCAAAGGAAAAAGGAATGTTGCTTCACCTCTTAGCTGAAAACAAAGGGAATATCTATCTGTCCTCCTAAACCTTCATGTCTCCCCATCTTGGAGTCCCCTGTACCCTCATTCTGTGTCTGATTCACATTTTTGCAGACCAGCTTAATGTGCTGTTCTGCTCAGTGGCCTCAGGTTTAAAAAGCTAATTGTCCTGATTGGCAAAGAGGCTGGAGGCTCCAAAGTCAGCCCCCTGGCCCGCTAACAATGAACAATGGACCTGGAATGTCAGCTCCGGGGAAGTTCACTACCAGAACAAGCCAAGGACACCCCCTGCATCAACACTGGGCATCAGGGATGAATATGGCCATTGTGGAGGCAGCCCTGGCCAGGCAGAGGAGAAAATTCCAAACAGAATGTTTTCTTTTTTCCCTTAAAAAAAAAAAAATCACGTCACATGATTCCCTCGCGCTGTCATCAGATATCCTGCTGCTGCAGGGGACAGGACTGAATTCACTCAGGAGAAAATTAGAAAAGATAACGTGGCTCCGACTGGTTTTAGAAGGAATCAGGGCATGGTGCCTTCAACCAGCCTGGCTGCCGGTGCCGGCCCCACAGCTGATCTTGACTTTGACACCACAGTATTTGTTCAGCACAAGAAAAATCCTTGAGGCTCTGTATCATCTTTATTCCTGCCACATCCTTAGCTCTCTCCCACTGAACCCCCACCCTCCACCCAACACCACTATTAGTTAGGACTAAAGGGCACTTATTTCCTCATCTCTGGGCGCTGGATGAACCACTGGACTGCAGGAGCTTTCCCGTTCCTGCACCCCATGGCGCCCTGACATGTGCTCATGATGTTGAGGTGGTGGAGGCAACATGCTGAAGAGGAAGGGGTAGGGAGACAGGAATGTCATTTCCTACCTGACAAAGCCTGGCAGTCCTGGTTCTCGCCTTGGCTCAGGCCCAGCGGCCGCCTGGCCAGGAGATCTTAAACAAGTCTCCACACGGCTTGCGCCAGTCCTGGCCACATCTTGGTGCAAATGAAGGAAAAGGGTCCCTCTGCGGGGGGCAGTGGGGAGCAGCCCATCCGTGGTGCAGTGATTGGTAAGTGTGACCCCAGCTGGACTCCAGCCCCCAGCACCCCTCTGCCAGGGCCCCCAGGCAGGGCCAAACCTGAGCAGCCATTCACTGAGCCCAGTGTCACTTTTCAAGGTGAGTTGTGGGGTGGGGCACATCATCCATGACCTACTAAATCCTCTGCATGGACCAGACTGAAGTGATTAACAGAGCAGCTTTACAAATTAGCCTGTTGATCAGAGATGTTTGCTACTCTGCTTCAGCTCCACCTTACATCCCAAGGTCTCGCTGATATTTCTAACGAAAAGTAAAAACGCTATTTACTCCTTTGAGGAACTGCTTCCCACACTCCCACACTCCAAAAATCCCCCCTCACCGAATGTGATCAAAAAGCAGGGTGAGCTCTGTCAGTGTGCAGCCGCACCGGGTCCCATGGCTTCGTGCTCCCACGTTACCAACGTGAACTTCTTCATTGTTTTTGAATAAGTAAACTTACATTTTTATTTTCATTTTATACTGAGCCCACAAATAACATCACTGGTCCTTCCAACAAGTCTTCTGGGGCACCAGATAACTTTCTCATACCCCACAAAAGATTTGGAAAGGAAAATGGGCTATGTCACCTCTCTGCTGGATGTGAAGGTCCCACCCATCATTCCAGAGTAGGGCAGGATGGAACCCGGACCTAGGATCATGGCTTTTGGAAGAGAATGGATCTGGGTGTCTTCCTGGGTCCTGCGAGATCTTGCACAGACCCCCTAATCTGCCTGCACCCAGGTTTCCTTCTCTGTAAAGCAGACTCCTCATCCCACTTCTTCCCCATCAATAATGAAGAAAGGACTGTAAATGAAGAAACTGGCTGGCCGGTGGCAGGTGCTCAGCAAATGTCAGCCCCTTCCAACTAGTTTCAGGAATAGATGCTTCAACCTGGGCCACTCAGTCACTTTCGGAAAGGCAGTGGGTGCTAGGTGGCCCGGAAGAACCCTCTAACTCTAAGAATACATGATTCTTCATTAACCAGCCCCTCTCCAGTCCATGGCTATCAATGAGGACACTTTTGGTTGCAAGGGCAGAAACCCAACTTATTGATTGAGGAGAAAGTGCTAGTTTCTCAGTTAATGAAACTGGGAAATACAAGGATACAGCACCACTGCATGTTAGGACTCATGCCATATCTCTCTCTCTCTCTCTCTCCACATTTTCACCCTTGTCTGCTTCCTTCTCCCTTCATAGAGTGGATAAGATGGCCGCCAACAGCCCAAGACTCCCACACTTGCTCAGCACGGCCAGTAGGGACAGGCACATCTCTCTCACTATCTATACATCAACACAGCAACCAAGAGAAAGATTCCAATTAACCCCGCTTGGATGACACCCCACGCCTGAGCCAGGCACAATGGCCAGAGTGACAGGGTATGCACCTACCTGACAGCTCAAGCCTCATGACTGACAGCCCCGACTATACCACATGAATTGGGGGTGGGGAAATCCCCAAACGAAATGGGATGCCAAGCAGATGAATGCAACATGTCCTCATGCCTTATGTGGTTGACCACTCATTCCCAGGGGTTCCAAAGAAAATGAAGGGAGGGAGAGGGGTGTTGGGTTATTGTAGACAGTAGCACTTTAACCAGCCTCCCTTAAAAGAAGGGAGGGCCTCCCTGGTGGCGCAGGTGGTTGAGCGCCACTGTGAGGCTGTTCACAGCCTCTGCAGCATGGGTTCAATCCCTGCCGACAGCTGAGAATCCCACATGGTGCACAGACCTCTCCTGTCTGGCCCACTGCTCCCCTCAGCAGTGTGTTTCGTCAGTCTGCCTATTCTGCTCCCCACTCTGGCTCTAGTGGATTCCCCCACCCCCATACCCCCTCACGCTTCTGGCTGTACCCAGTGCTTGTATAAATAAAATAAATCTTTAAAAATAAATAAAAAATAAATAAATAAGGGGAGATAAGTGACACATCAGCAGAGAGTCCCTATGAGGAACTGAGAAAGGCAGGGTGTGTTTAAACTGCTAGTTGCATAACTGCAATTGATCTCACATCTTTAAAATTTATAAGCAATGTCTTTACTTTTATGTTTACCTTTTGCTTGAGCAAGTGATATTCCTTGGGACCAGCTGGTCTTGGATGTCCACAGAGAATGAACCCTCTGTTCTCCAGAACAATCTGTCTCACCAACTAAAGGATGAATGATTTGCACCTCATTTTACCTCATGTAGAAAATGTTCTATTTTGGAAAGTGCCCTTATAAAAATAACTTTAAGTTAAAAAAAAAGCAAGTTTTTTTAAAAAAAAAAAAAAGTAAAAGGCAAATAATAGCAATATAAACTTAGGTAGATGGGGACAAACAAAGTGGGTATGTTGTGCCAGTGGCTAAAGTATGAGAAACACCAGGTTAGTGTAGAAAGAGTAAAAGCAAGCAACAATAAAAACTGGTAACTGTGCTTCTGCTGTTTCCTATTTTATCTCTAACAGACTCAATACTGTATCTCATTGTAGATGGTCAAGCATTAGCCTAGCTCACCAAATGGATGTGTGATAAGACCCTAGAGCCCTCGGCTACACACTCAGCTACACACTCATGTCTTACAGCGAAAGGGGAAAAGCAGCACTCTGGGACATTAGCCCCCTGTATTTCTGTTTCAGAGACAGACATACAAAGGTGGGGCTGATTGTACAGATGACCAGACAGATGGTCCTTGAGAACAGAGAGACCCTTTCTCTGTGGTTATCCAAGTCCAGTTGGCCCCAAGGAGTACCAGCCACCTCTCCGGGGCCAGAGTTTGCCCAGCTGATTTCTACACAAGTGGCAGCTGGTCCCTCATTTGGATGACTGCTACCATTTTCCACCAGAGGCAATTTAATGATGCTTTTATTGTCAACTTACCTCTTCATTTATTTTCTCCAGGCCAAAGAGAAAAGTCATCACGGTTTTAATGTGGATCGAGATGCCAAGAAACTGAACAAAGCCTGCAAAGGAGTGGGTATGAAAGATATTTTATTTGTTCATTTACTGTTGATGTTTATTACACTTGAAGTTAATGTGTCATGTCCAGCTTTCCTGTGGTCTTAGAAAAAGGACCTCTCGCTTTTCTTGTTTATTCCAAGCTCAGGTTCTCTTTGCAAAACTCCCCAAAGTTAGAATCAGACCCTATTACTTTTTAGGATTCGATACAATCACCAGAAATTTGGTATTTCTAGTGATTATATACATCCACTTGACCTCTGGGTGGGGGAAATTTCATGAGAAACAGTTCTTACAACTTTAAAGTCTTCTAAACATCTCCAATTCCTTTCATGGGGGGTGGGGGTGGGGAATCAGGTTTGATGAGAACTGGCTGAGGGAACAGGGAACTGAATCTAGAAGTAGATTAAGTGACGTTAAAATCATGACCAAGGTCAAGATCAAGGGCCTAAACTGAAATGGCAGTTTCCATTCAAGCCTGAGATAAGTGCACAGTGAAGAATGAGAGACTAAGATATGAGTAGAAAGATAAACCAGTAACAAGGGGGGTGAGGGAGTGCCTGGGACCAAGCCCAGGCCTCTGAAGCAAGCGTCTAGTGCCAGGAAGTTGGAAGAGATGGGCATCCAAGACAAGATATACAGATAACCTGGCCTCCCTCTCATGGGGAAACATCAGGTTACCAGGCACTAGCATCTTCCTCTTTCTCCACCTACAGCACCCATGACTATCTTCGTTTTCTTGATCTCACCTCTCTCTATACCCTCTCCTGCTCACCCCAAATGCCAAAATGTAAAGGCATCAAGCTAAGCCACCTCAGCCACCCATGAATGCAACGTGTCCTCTGGGATACTGAAGGGTGGAGCGAGACTAAGGAGGCGCGGCTCAGTGCCATTAATGACTCTGGGAGCCATTTGAGCCCACGGATCTTTCACTGAGTAATTCTTTTTCTTATGTGATATAGTTTACATATCATAAAACTCACCCTATTGCAACATACAAAACAGTGGGGAGTATATTCCCAAGATTGTGTAATCATCACCTCTAATTCCAGAATATTTCACCACTCTTCAAAGAAACCCCACAGCCATTAGCAGTCACCCCACTGCCTGTCACCTCCCTTCAGGTTCAGGTACTCGGCTCTCTGCTATCAGTCTGCGGATTTGCCTATTCTGGACATTTCACACGAATGGAGTCATGCACTTTTATGTCTGACTTTTTTTAATGATGTTTTACAAAAACAAATGTTAGATTTTTACTTAGAAGTAAGTTAGTGGAGATTTACTTTCATAAGAATAGGTATTGGGGTAGAAAAAAATATGGCCATAAATTCCTCATGTAACTCCAGTGGAAAGAGCTGGAATTCATGGTGAAAGTTGTAAGAAGTATTTTCCTTAATATAAGGAACCATCTAACATAGAATAATTTGCCCCAGAAATGTCAGCGAAGTCCCAAAGGAGTTGGCTGGGGGAGATCTGGTAAGAAGTGGTAGAGGGATTTTGACATATTAAGTAATCTTGAGTTAATCACAGAGAGAGAGAATGCAAGAGAGAGAGAGAGAGAGAGAGAGAGAGAGAGAGAGAGAGAGAGAGAGAGAGAGAGAGAGAAATGAAAGATGACAGCTAAGTTACCCTCTTTGGGGGCCTGAGAGGAAAAGCTCAGGAGTTCTAACAGCAGAGAGGAGCTGCTCCTGGCTCGTTTCCTGATCTGGTTAAGCTTGTATTTGGACGACAGCTGTCAGGAGACATGTTTGCCTAGGAGTGGAAGGATGTTTATAGCTCGGAGTTGTGCAGAGTAGCTGAGCTGACCTCACAGGTGCTTCCCTGCTGCCCCAGAGGGAGGTCCTGACACCTGGCTGTGGGTTGGAGACAGGAGCTCAAGTGGATATGGGAGTGATTCAGTTGGAGTTAATGATAAATGCTCTCATTTTTGGCCTCCATTCAAGTTCAGTTCAACAAGCACAGATGGAGCGCCTACCAAGTGCCAGAGTCACACAGTGCTCCCTCCCCCTCTTTGGATATGGCCACAAAGTGAGGCCACTACCATGCTGGTTAGTCGTTGATGCCTCTGATATGCCAAGTGCTAAGCTGGGTACCACAAGCATGTCATCCTGCTTAATCCTCCCAACAACCTGTAAAGTTGCATTATTATAATGACTAACAGGTGAGCATGCCCAGGCACTCGGGTTAAATATCTTGCCTATCATGAGGGTGCAGTGATTGGAAAGTAGGGCCATCTTGAAGAGCTATGATTTGGTTGAAAGTCCAGAATTCCAAATTGTGATAAAGGAAAACAATATGGAGATTCCTCAAAAGTTTAAAAGTAGAACTATCATATGATCCAGTAATCCCACTTCTTGGTACTCATCCAAAGAACACGAAAACACTAATTTAAAAAGATATATGCACACCTGTGTTCATTGCTGCTCTCTTCATAATAGCTATGATATGGATCCAACCCAAGTGCCTGACGACAGATGAATGGAATAAGAAAATGTGGTATATTTGCAAACGGAATATTACTCAATAGCCAAAAAAAGATGAAATTTTGCCATTTGTGACAACACTGATGGAGCTGAAGGGCTGATGCTAAGTGAAATAAGTTGAAAGTAGAAAGATAAGTACAATGTGTTTCACACATTTGTGGAATATAAAGAAAAGCAGAAGCAATCAAGCAAACACAACAAAAACAAACATTTAGACTCTAACAACAAAATGGTTGTTACCATTGGGAAGGAGAGGAAACAGAATAGCTTGGGGTGGGTGACTGAACATTGGGTGCGTGTGGTATGATATATACAGAAACTGTACATCTGGAACCTACATAGTGTTATAAGCGAATGTTACCTCAATAACAAAAAAATGTTATCAATTTTTAAAAGTACAAGTCAAAGCAAATGTTTATCACTGGTAATATTTGTCTGCAAGATCATATGCCAATCCCATTTACGTAGCGGTCCAAGCACTAGATTTAAATATCCAGGGTCTGGGCCTCCCCAGTGGCACAGCGGGTTGAGTGCAGCGCAGTGAAGTTGTCTGCAGCCTCTGCAGCATGGGTTCAATTCCCAGTTGGCCAGGGAGATACCCACATGGCATGGCAGACCTCTCCTGCCTCTCCTGCTGCTCCCCTCAGCAGTGTCTCCAGTCCATCTGCCTGTTCTGTTCCCCACTCTGTCTCTGGTGAATCCTCTCACCCTCCCACGCCTCTGGCCTATACCCCAGTTCTTGTATAAATAAAAATAAATCTTTAAGAAAAAAGTATTCCTTCTTTAACAATATATATATAAATATCCAGGGTCATGCTGTTCAATAACCACAAAAGTGACCCATATAGGTAATAAAAACGTTTGAGAAATCAAATTTTGAAAGGAAAAAAAAATTTGCTAATGTTTTAGTTAACTCAATATTATATCAAAAATATTTCAACATCCAACATAAAAATTACCCATGAAACATTTTACACAATTTTCCTCCTGACATTTACTGAACATTTCTACTTGAGCCCCAAACATCAAGTCTCTAAGAGCCTGGGAATGAACTTTGGAGCTGGGTTTAGGCCCAGGTCCGCCACTTACAAATGCCATGACCTTAGTTTTCTCATCCACCAAATGGGTGGTCAGTAATGTCTCTTCCCAGAGAGGTAATGAAGATAAAGGAGGAAGCTCAGGCTCAGCACCTCACTGCCCTCATTTTATGCTAATCTCCTGGTCAGTAGGCTCAGACCCAATTAGAGCATCATGAGCAGTGAGCAGGCCTCGCTGGGAGTGGCTTTTCCTCTCCACCACTGAGGGCCCAGCAAGTAGAATAGTGACCTCTCCAAAGATATGTCCACCCGGAACCTCTGAATGTGACCTTATCTGGAAAACAAGTCTTTGCAGATATGATTTAGTTAAGGATCTTGAGAAAAGACCATGTTGGATGATCTGTGGGCCCTTCATCCATTGACAAATGCCACTGAAAAGGGACAATAGGGAAGACACACAGGGAGAAGGCCACGTGCAGACAGATGCAGAGAGAGGAGGGGTGCAGCCACAAGCCAAGGAATGCTAAGGGTTGCCAGCATCACCAGAGTTGGAAAAGCCAAGGAGGAGATCTGGCTCCAGGGCCTCTTGGGCAGTGTGGACCTGCCAACACCATGATGCTAGGCTTCCAGCCTCCAGAACAGTGGGCAATGAAAAAAAAACAAAAGTCCTATGATCCTTCAGACAAATAAAATTCTCTCCAATTTGTTACTGCATCCCCATCTCCGAAGGAGAAACTGAGGGAGTGGGAAGTCCAGCTGGCTTAGCAGAGGACTCAGAGAAGGGGCTGGAGCCCCTGGGCTCAGTGAGATGAGCTGTCACTGGCATTCGGGAGCCAATGGGGAAGCTGAGTCCCCACTATCACCACACAGCCCACCGCACAGGGGCTCTCATAAAGAGGAGATCCTATGAAACTAAGAGGCCTGCATCCTGCTGAAACTGGCTCCGTATCTTCCCAGGAATTTGCTGGGAACACAGACGCCAGCAGGAGGCCCTCGGGGCTGCCTCTCATGGGGTGCCTCTGAGCCCTGCTCTGTGACTCGCAGTGTCCCTTGCACAGACAGGGCCAGGGTGCTGCCTTTGCTCATTTTTAAAAAGTCTTTCCCACAATCGCTGGGGATTGGAGACTGGCCCTGCTGTCTCAGACCATTGTAAATGTTTATGGGAAATTGGTCGGCAGCACAGACTGCTTATATGACACGCGCATTGTGAAATGTAAAATGAGATCACTCTTCGGGAAATTGCTTCTTGGTGGGGAGTGGGAACAGCTCCCAGTATAAACCTGAGCCCTGGACTCAAAGGGCTTGAGGGAAATCCAGTCATTTCCACACTCTGCCCCCATCTCCAGGTGTTGCCAAGCTACCCCCGGGCCCCTGTGCTCGAGGATTTCTTATTTTGAAGCATTCCAAAAATGCTTCCAATTGTAATGTCAAAAAAATAATGTTTTTAAAATTTTAACCCGATTTTGCTGAATTAGCCAGGTATGGGTTGGTGATGGCATCAGAGTGGAAGGGTTTCTATTGGTTTCTGCTACATATAGCCCACCTGTGTGACACCTGCAGACCGTACCAATGTGCAAAGGCCAGGTTCCATCATAATGTACATGCACATATTTAAACATTCATTTGTTAAGCAAGGCTGACAAATATTGAGAACCTTTTGGGTACATAGAAGAGTGAGTGACATCCTGTTCCCATGGAACTTACAGCATGTCGGCACAGAGGGGAGCAGGCAATGTGGGGGACAACGAGGGAGGAGTGTCCCACCTATTTCTCCCCAGAAAATCGGGGGTGTTGAGTCCTAATGCAGGAATGAGAGCAAAGGTGGGGATCCAAGATAAAAGTATTCCAGGCAGAGGGAATAGCCTATGCAAAGGCCCAGAGGTGAAAACGAAGGTCTTGCTTATTTTCTGAGCTGCAAGTGATTCTTGGAGTCATGGACAGAAGTTGTAGAAGGGTGGCTAGGGAGGGTCAAAACTTTGAAGGACAGGTAGGAGCTACTCTAAAAGGCCTCATATGCTCCATTAAAGAGTTGAGATTTTATTCTGGTCTTGAAGAGACTTTTATTGAAAGGTTTGGGTGAGAGGTATGACAGGCTGATCTGCTGCCCAGAAAATCCATCCCGGGGACAGCGGAACAGTGGCGCAGGGAGAGTAAGACACGACCCCATTGAGGCAGGGCTGTGAGCAACGTGGCAGGGGTGAGGATGGAGGGGTGAGCTCAGAGAGCTACTAAGGAGGTGGATTAGTGAGGGCTTGGCGACTAACTGGACATGGGGTGAGAGGAAAAAAGAGGGAGCAGAGATGTACTCCAGATTCCTGGCTGGCACAATACAGAGCAAGGGCCGCTTCGGAGGCACGTGGAAGGACAACCTTAAGGCTCCAGGCCTGAGATGTGAAAGTTCTAGACCTGGGCTTGAGCAGCCCAATGGGAAAGAGGTGGATTCAAGAGATATTTACCAGAAAAGGAAATCCCTTTGAGGTGAGATTTCTGGCATTCGCAGGTTTTAAAACATAATGTCACAAAGGAAGTAACTGGATACACATTACGTAGGTGAAGCTGCAGGAGGAAATGCAGAAGAACCACGTAAATGACCGTATTGGCACGGAACCAGAATGAGGCAAGCACTTAACTTCTATTTTTGCAAGTGAGCTCATCTTAGCATTTTCCATTTCTCCAATTGGAATCGGACAGCTAGAGCTTCCCAGAACTGTAAAGGTGGAACTAATCCTCGAGACTAAGTGAGCAGTCCAACATGGCTGGCACTGAGCTTGAGCCAGGGCCTGGCCCTCTCACCCAGCTCAGAGCTGCATTCCTGAGTCCTGCCACTGTCTTTCCAAGCCTGGCCATGAGGGTTGGTGCCAGCACCCCCATTTCTTTCTTTTTTTTTTTCTTTTTTTTTTTTAAAGATTTATTTATTTATACAAGAGCCGGGGTATAGGCCAGAGGATAAGGTATAGGTAAGAGGTATAGGGTATAGGTAAGAGGATTCACCAGAGACAGAGTGGGGAACAGAACAGGCAGACTAACGAAATACACTGCTGAGGGGAGCAGCAGGAGAGACAGGAGAGGTCTGCTGGCCATATGGGTTGCTCCAAGGCTGGCGGGGATCAAACCAGTGCTGCAGAGGCTGCAGACAGCTTCACAGCACTGCACTCAACTGCCTTGGCCACCAGGGAGGCCCCCCCGTTTCTTTCCTTCCCCATCTCCAGCGAGGTCCTCCTCCAGCTTCTCCCATACTCAACACCCAGATTTCCCCTGCTCTCAACCCTTCTATCAAAATGCGCCAAAATGCATCTGCCCCATTTCTGTCCTTTCAGGCTCTTGATCTCTTAACTGGGTCAGAGCTATTGTGCAAAGTACAGGTAATTTTAGGGCCCACAAAAATCACCAAGCACCTTCTCTTCAGGGCAGCAGATACTGCACAGAGGACAAGGGACAGACTAAAGTGGGGGTCTCCAGAGACCTCTAGGGATTTTCATGAAGTGGTATATGTTAGTGGTAGTGGAGGTGTCAGAGTGGCAGGGTGTGTATTCGTTTCCCAGGACTGCCATGACAAAGTACCACAAACCAGTTGACAAACTACAGAACTTTGCTGTCTCGCAGCTCTGAAGGCCAGAAGTCTGAAGTCAAGGAGGCAGTAGGCCATGCTGCCTCAAAGATGCTAGCAAAGTCCCTTTTCCAGGCCTTTCTCCTAGCTTCTGGAAGTCTCAGGCAAGCCTTGGCTTGTGCAAACCTTACTCCAACCCCCATCCTTACAGGGCACTCTTGCTGGGACTTTTCACTTTGTCTCTCTCTGTGCAAGTCTGGCTCAGGGTTCAAATTTCCCCTTTTCATAAGGACATCAGTCATTTTGGGTTAGTTCCCATCCTACTGACTTCATTTTAACTTGATTACTTCTACAAAAAGACAATTCCAAATAAGGTCACAGGGACTGGAGGTTGGGATTTCAACATGCCATTTCAGAGGAACACAATTCCACCCAAACAGGAGGTGTCCCCTGAGCCAGGACGCCAGAGGACAGCGGGATGGGAGGTTCTGCCAGTGTCCCTTCTGTGGCTGCATACTCACTGCTGTGAGTCAGGTGGACACGGTGCTAAATTAGAATAGAGCTTTCCTAGCATCTGAATTTGGATCTCATAGCTCACTCCTCACAGTCTGGTAAGGTCAGGATTGTCATCACCTCCATCAACACCGGGTAAAAATGAGGCTCCGGGCAGTGCCATCCAATAAAAATACAACATAAGCCACCAAATGAACTCAAATTTTCTAGAAGCCACACTTAGAAAAAGGAAAGATATGAACATAATTTTAATAATATATTTTATTAACCCAATATAGTAATTAATATAAAAATTATTGAGATATTTTACATTCTTTAAAAAACTGTCTTTGAAATCTGTTTGCATTTTATACCAATAGCACATTTCAACTCAGACTGGCCCTGTTTCGAGGGCTTGCTGACCACATCTGCTCCAGTGTCAGACAACACAGCCTGAGAGTGAGTCCAGATCCATCCAGCTCTGCCAGCTGATGCCCAAAGCTGTTTCTCAAACCACACCAGCTGCTTCTGACACCTGGGGGTGGGGGCTGCTAGGGAGGGGTTGCCCTCTAGGAACTACTCCCTGTGTTACTCCTTGTAATGGTACTTATGAAAAACCCAGATCTGATGGACAAACGCAGTCCATGATAGTTTTTGGCGCTCTTCAAATTGCCTAGAATTTCCATGTATTATTTTAAGCATCAAAGGAAATAATTTATTAGAAAATGTGTAATTCAAAGGTGTAAGAGAAGAGTTTCCAGGGGCAATTACCCTTCATGCTCCTGATAAGGACTTCACTTTGCTCAATGTGACTTTATTTCCTTCTCCTGCTCTTTTTGGTTTGTTTTTTTCTACTCTGTTTTTTGTTTTGTTTTTTTTTTTGTTTGTTTGTTTGTTTTTACTCTCCTCCAATCACCTGTGCCCATAACCTATCTGCCTCCCTCTTCCATCCTGTCCACCTTTTCCCTGCTTCTCCAGGTAACATTTTCTTCTTTTTGCTGAATTCTACATTTATTCCTTCTATTATTTCTGTGGTTTATTTTTTTTTTCATTTATAGCCTCAGATGAGTGCAACCATCTGATATCTATGTTCCACTTTTTCACTCATTTTACTCAACATAATCACCTTGAGGCTCATCCATTTTGTCCCAAATGTCACTTTTTCATCTTTCTTCACAGCTGTATAGTACTCCGCTGACTCTTTTCTTTCTTCTGCTCTTTAGGAACAGATGAAGCAGCCATCATTGAAATCCTATCAAGCAGGACATCAGATGAGAGGCAACAAATAAAGCAGAAGTACAAGGCAGCATATGGCAAGGTGATTCCAAAGGTCTTAGACAGTGGGATGTCTCTGCTTCTTCTCCATTCCCAAGACAGAGGAATGACTTTTGAGCTTCATTGTGTTAGCTCGAGAGAAAAAAAAGTGAAACATCTATTTAAAACTTTAATTGACTTCAGAAAAACGAAATTGCTTAGTTAATTTAATTAGCCTATAAAGTCTATATTCTTTAACTCATTATTTTTAAAATTGAATTCAATTTTCTATTAATCCCTTAGTTCATTTTTTGCATTCATTTGAATCCATTCCACTAATAAACTTATAGATAGGCCAGTGATTTGCAAATCCATTTTCAGAGGTAGGTCTTTCTGGAGCAATTCTTCATTTGTTCAGTTGTCTTCAAGGATGATATATTCTTTATAAATGACTTTTATAGAAAAATAAAACAAAATTTCATTTAACATATTTTCCTTTCTCTACATTTTTTCTTTCATTCTTTTTGGGTTTGATAATGCTGTTATATGTAGAAATCTTTAAGTTTGCATTAGGCTTTCTATTTTCTTTATTGATATATAACAAACACAATTGAACCTTTCCTTAGTGTCATAAATATTATTGTTACACAAATGGAATATCAAATCATTATGCTGTAGTCTAGTCCATATTTATAAAACCTCCAACATTCCAATCCCTCTATGTATAAATAGAAATAGAGATGGATTTACTCACTTATTTGACATTGCCCAGGCAACACTTCTTTAAGCCTTGGTCTCCTCACAAATAAGTTGAAAATGATAGCCCCGTTCTCAGATTATGGAAAGACTCAAGCATGAAACTGCCAGCACATCCCACTAAAGAGAAGGGATAAGGATGATGTTTCCACTTTCCAGAGAAGAAAAGCTCGTTTGGTTAAATGACTTAAGCAAAATCACACACTGAATAAGAAAGAACCAGCACCCAAATCCCAGTCTTCTGAGTCCAGGGCAGCCTCTGCTCGGGGGGAGCCCACTGCTCCGGAGAACCTCCTTATTTGTTTATACACTAACTGGCCCAGATGCCTGTGTACTTAGAGTTTGCCTGCTTCTTCCTCGTGATCACGTTTGTCAGTGTCACTCATTGCAGACACTGATGAAATAAGTGAGTCTTCTGTTCAGATGTATTTCATTGAATGGTTCATCTTTGTCAGGTCCTGCCCTTCGCAGCTTCTGGAGTCCTGTGCCCACTTCCACCCCACTGATACAGAAAGACCCAGGCTTCTTAAACCTCAATGCAAAATAGGAGCAAGGGGGTTTGCAGTACTCCAGCACCAAAATTCACAATACCTGCCTTGGCCAATCATGTGCTTTCTTTCCCGTTCTCAGCCATGTTTCACAGAGCTGACACCGCCAAGGAAGTCTAATCACAAAGCATGAAGCTTGAAGGTGTTAGAGATCATCATACCTAAAGCCCATGTCAACTGAGCCCTAGAGAGAATGAACCACCCGAAGGGCCACAATTAGTTAGAAGGAAAACTTGAGTTAGAACTGAAAGATCCCTGATGCAGCTCCTGGGTCCGAACAACATAAACACGCAGGATTTGTTTTCATGCTTGTGGCTTACAAGAGGAGGCAGCTGGGTTCTCTTCTCTGCAGTCCTATGTCATGCCCATCTGACCTGAAAAAGTATTTCTACTTTGGGGGCTGGATCCACACCAGAGGCCAGCCTTTGTGAGACATTATGTTAGATGGAGCAGCTGCCAAGGCATGGGTTGCTGGGATCACCACCACCTTGTAAGACTGCAGACCTCAGGGCTTAGGACAAAAGTCTGGGATTTTTCCCCCAGACCCACAGCTCAGAGAAATAGTTGGTTTGCCTTCTTTCAGCATAAAATAATAATAATAATAATAATATTATATAACATAAGCATATTATATCATACATATGTAATATAAAATTGTATTCATTAGAATCCTTTGTTGAAATTTAAAACATGCCAGGCACCATGCTCAGTCTTTGTATGAATTATCTCACTTAATACTCCCAACAACCCTAAGAGATAATTGTTATCATTCTTCCATTTTCTAGAGAGGGAAATTAATGTCAGTGAAACTAAGCCAGACCCACTTGTGCTGGGGTTGGGTTTCCTGAAATACTGGCTAGTCTAGGAGCCTCCATGCTGGGCTATCCTGGCATCCAAGTCCCGCCTGGAAGCCCGTCATTGAGTCAGATTAGACTGAATGACCGTTCTTGAACCTTTCTTTGTGAAACCATGTAGTCCAGGAGGATGGGTAGGAGCAGGAAGCTCACTTATAACAAGACAGTGCTTCCTAAAAGCATCTATGAAGACAGATGCTTGCCAGCAACAGGGCGCTGTGAGAATTTCCTGTCATCCTCCCCCATGCATCCCCTATCAACTCTCAGGCCATGAGCTAGGGGAGCAGACACCTGCTTCTCTCCTCTCGGGCCAACCCTCATCAGGGCTCTCGCTGTCTCCATACAGGATCTAGAGGAGGTGCTCAAGAGTGAGCTGAGTGGAAACTTCGAGAAGACAGCCTTGGCCCTTCTGGACCGGCCCAGCGAGTATGACGCACGGCGGCTGCAGAAGGCCATGAAGGGTATCGGCACGGACGAGGCGGTGCTCATTGAGGTCCTGTGCACGAGAACCAACAAGGTTGGTCCCAGTGGAGTGCTTAGACCAAGGAGCACATCCATACCCCAGTGGGGACAGTAGCAGCAGTCCAAAGAGAAGCTACTCCCACCCCGGTGTCAGCCAGCATCTGGACAGAATCATGTCTATTTGGTGCAGGCAGGAGAGACACCTCTTCTAGTCTTCCAGCAATCAGTCTTGGTGTTGCTGTCCCTGGCTTGAAAACTAGAACTTTTCAGCATAATTGGGTCATCCAGTCTTTGTTTATCTAAACAGATGTACAGTTGTGTGTGCAGGAGGCTAGATTCTGCTTTACCCCTGCCAGTCTGACTGTGCAGATCTGCTGGTTTGAACACTGCAGTAAGCAGCCAAGCAGCCGATGTCTCCCAAGCACACTTATGTAACTGCCTCCTCCGGGCTGCCTTCAAGTGTGAAGTGCAAGCAAGTCTGCAGGCCTACCTCCCTTTATTGTGCTTCGCTTTATTGCATTCTGCAGACAACGGACTCTTTACAAATTGAAGGCATGGGGCACCCCCGCATCCAGCAAGTCTATCAGCCACGTGTTCCCACAGTCCAGATGAAGGTAGCATTGTTTAGCAATGAGGTGCTCTTAATAAAGTGTACCTTTGGGTTTTCTTAATATAACGCCATTGCACACTGACTCGACGGCAGTTTAGTAGAAACACAACTCATACATGCACTGGAAACCCATACATGCACTGGAAACCCAAACATTCGTGTGGCTCCATTTATTTCCATAATTGTTTTACTGTGGTCTGGAGCCAAAGCCACACTGTCTCTGAGGTGTGCCTATGGAACGAGGCCAGGAGGTGCCAGAAAACCCCAACATTCCTGAGACCTCTGGGTAAGAGCAGGGTTTGGAGCCCACAGCAAGGACAAGTGACAGCAGCGTTCAGACACTAAAATGCATCCTGGGCCTTGAGTACTGACTCCTAGCACTGGTCCTTCCTGCTTGGCCTGTGCCTGCCGCTGTGCTTCCTCAAGCACCCCCCTGTTCCCCGTCACAGCTGTAAACCCCTTCCTGAGCATCCATGAACTTCTTTTCTCTCCACAAGAAAATAAAAGCTCTCCACTCAAGGGCTTTGCAGATTAAGATTGTGCCTTAGTGAAGGTCTAGCAGGGAGGAGACATCTGTCAAGTTCAACAGGCACACAATTCTCCTGACCTGAATTCCCACCCTCTCCAGACGCAGCAGGGTCCCAGCCCTGGGACTCCAGCTGCCTTGGCAAGAAGGTTAACTTGATCATGATTTTTCTAGTCTTTTTTGACCATATGCTATTCTCCCTCAGCCTAGTTTCTTTCCAGCCCTGGTCTCAAACAACAAGCGAGACCTATTTTTGCCCCCAATTACATCGATCTATCTTACAAACAAGTGGTGGGAGGATGAGCTGGAGAGAAAGGAACTCTTCACACTATGGTCAGGAATGTAAGTTGGTGCAGACATTATAAAGAGCAGTAAAAAAATGCAAAAACACTAATCTGAAAAGGTTTATTGCAGCATTATTTACAATAGCCAAGAGCTGGAAACAACCTAAGTGCCCATTGATTGAGGAACAGATAAAGAAGGTAAGGAACAGATATACACACTAGAAATATGACTCAACTACTTTTTTTAAAAAGGATGAAAACCTGCCATTTGTAACAACATGAGACCTCGAGGAAATTATGCTTAATGAAATAAGTCAGACGGAGAAAGACAAGCACATATGAATTCACTCACATGTAGTATATAGAGAAAATAAACAAACAGATGGGCTAAAGAAAACAAAAATAAACTTGTAGACTCTAAGACTAATTAGTGGTCACTAGAGGGGAAGGAGGTGGGTAAATCAGGACAAAGGGACAATGGCTGCGGAAGGCAAGAACTGGGCTTCTACAGAGAACTTAGTGCCGCGTGTCCACATGCTGATTCTCGATGACGAACACCTGAGGCTTATATAATGTCATGATGCAATGCTACTTCAGTAATAAAAGAAAATGGATTTGACAGTAAAGAGAAAGCCAGAGCAAAGCAAGCCCAGGGTTCACGGAGATCCTGGTACTTGGCTAGACCAGGGCCAGGGGCCAAGCTGCTCAAACCCAGGATATCAGCCCTCCCTAACCTTCTACCTCCCTCCCAACTACCAAAGCACAGAGGCCAACTCCTCACCTGTGTGAGTTCTCCACCTCACAGCCACTGACTCCAACAGCAGGCAGGTGAAGCGGTGGGAGATGCCTGCTTTTAAACCAGCTGATTCAGGTGTAAATTGAGGAGCTCCTGAGTGGGCACTCAGCAGATACCACTGAAATATCAGGCAATTCTCCCCTGAACATACTCTAGAGAGACATTTGCACTCCTGCAAACAGCAAATTGTTTACTGTATGAAGCCTTATTTGAAATAGAAAAAAAAAAAAAACAAACTGGAAGCCAACCTAAAAGTCTATCACTAGCAGACAGGGCAATAAACCGTGGCTTATCGTAGAATGAAACCTTTTGGATCCATTGAGAAAAAATTAGGTGACTGTATAAATAAGCCTTGCTGGATCTCCAGGACCCAGTAATTGAAAAAATAAGTCAAAGAATGATATGTACCATAGTTGACTTTTTATTTTTATTATTTTTTTAAGATTTACTTATTTATTTATACAAGAACCAGGGTACAGACCACATGCGCAAAGGGTGAGAGGATTCACCAGAGACAGAGTGGGGAACAGAACAGGCAGAATGACGAAATACACTGCTGAGGGGAGCAGCGGGCGCGACAGGAGAGGTCTGTGCGCCATGTGGGACCCTTGCTAGGCAGCGCTGCAGAGGCTGAGGACAGCTTCACAGCGCAGTGCTCAACCGCCCGCGCCACCAGGGGAGGCCCCATAGTCGACTTCTTAAACACAAAAGAAAATAATTCTGTACACTTTCAGTAGCATGCTTATGTGTACACAAATGCAAAGACGTATCTCAGGAAGGCATGCTCTGAACTTCTCATACTGGCTACCTGGCTGGGCTGGGAGTGGGGAGATGGGGTGAGGATGTTGGCTTAGCTGTAATCTTTTTAATCCCAATCAGTGGGCTCCCTCCATGCATAGAAGCAGGATTAAGATGACTCCAGGGTTTTGAGAAAAGGAAAAAAATCCCCCCCCCCATAATTTGTTGCTAAGGAAATAAGAGATAAACTCAAATCTGTTTCCTGGTTAAGAAAGGAATGAGATTACACAGGTTTTGGAGGACCAGGATTGAGAACACAGTCCTGTTCATTGGCTAAAAAGCACACCGGGCAAAGAAATGTGGGCATGGTTGAGGTTTGTTGAGGCTTTTCTTCACGTAAGTGGGGGGTTTGAATTTCTGTTGGTGGGCTCCGTACCTCTGGGGAGACCCCCCGCCCCTCCCCCCACCTCCAGCCATGCATTTGTGTCTCCCTCGTCCAACTGGTCTTGGAACTCAGGTCAAGGTTAGCTGATAAACCTCCAAGCTCTGCTGTGTCTGCAAAAGCAATTGTCAGAGAAAAGTTTTCTTTTGTGTTTAAGGTCTGAAGGCAATTTAACCATTTAACTTCGGTTACATTTTCATTTTTAACTGGGAAGAATGTGCGTGTGTTATTTGTGTGGTTTGAGATGTGTGCACAGCAAGGGGCTCCACAGCCTTAGGGAACAGCCAAAGGACTAACCTGCAGGGTGGCTTTCTGCAGAGGTCATGGGTGCACCCTGTGTCCAGAGACAGGCTGCTGCCTCTTCCCTCCATGCATCTCTTATTAATTAACCCTGAACTGGAGTTACTGATTTTTTTTTATTACCTTTCCTAGGAAATCATCGCCATTAAAGAGACCTACCAAAGGCGTAAGTGACCTTTTGTTCTGACTTTGGGTAAAGAATGTTCCTTTCAGAATACCTCAGGGAACTAAATTGTCTGCTTTCTCCTCTCCCTTTTTCTTCCTTAAAAGTATTTGACAAGAGCCTTGAATCAGATGTCAAAGATGATACAAGCGGGAGCCTGGAAAAAATTCTGGTGTTCCTGCTACAGGTAAGAGGTTAAAGCTCTCTCCATGATCTTAGGAAATACCCTCAGCAACATGATGCCAATCGTGCAAAAGGCAACGCAGCTAAACCTTCATTTTTTTTATCATTAAGAATCTTATGAGGAATTGGCAACACGTGCTTCATTAGTCCAGCTATGAGGAAATTACTAAATCAGCATTTTTCCCATAATAGCAACCTGCTTAGTCATTTGCAATTACAATGGGATAATGGATTATCTCATTAAGCACCACCCCTCTTTGCTTAGCAAGGAAGCTTGAGCCCAGGGAGGGTGAGTAACCTGCCCAGATTTACCCAGCCAGTAAGATACATACAGCCCAGGAGCGTGGAGCGAGAGAACCTGATCGTCTTAACCCAGAAGGAAACTTTTCACAATTCACTCCCTTCCAGGATTCCCTCTGAGTTTAGGTCTGTAAGAGCCACTGCAGGGAGCTGGCCAGGACATGGCACTTTCAGCACCGCCCCTGCTAGGACATGCCCCTGGGCCTCCAGCCTGAACACATCTATGCTCTCACTGACATGCCCCTCCTTCTGAGCTTTGAGCGTTTCCTCCATTTTGTTTCTCTCAGTGAGGAAGGACTATCAGCAGAGGACACACAGAGTAACAAGTATAGCAAGAAGGACATATAGTTTTCTCTTGCTGTCATAACAAATTGTCAGAAACTTAGTAGCTCAAAGCAACAAAGATCTATGATCCCACAGTTTCTAAAAGTCAAGAGTCTGGGTACAGGTTAGCTGAATCTTTTGCTAGGCTCTCACCAGGCTGAAATCAAGGGGCTGACAGGGGCTAAGATTTCATCTGAGGCCTGGGGTGCTCTTCGGGCTTGCTGGTTATTGGCAGATTTCAGTTTCTTGTGGCTGTAGGGACTGATGTCCTGTTTCTTGTTCTCTGTCAAGTGGAGACCAGTATCAGCTCTTAGTTCCCTGATACGTGCTCCACAGCACAAAGCAGGAGCCAGACCAGCAAGAGTTTATTTCTCTCTGACTTCTTCCATCTATGCGCTTTCAAAAGCTCACCTGACTGGATCAGACCAACCCTGGATAATATCCCTTTTCATGTATTCAGCTGATTCTGCACCTTAATTACCTTTGTCGTATGAACAGAACATAATCACAGGATGACATCTCATCAAATTTACAAGGAAGGGGAATCCATGAGTGTTGGTTACTGGGGGTCAGCTTAGAATTCTGCCTAAAACAATGAATAGGCAACCAAGAACTTCCTTCACCAACTACCAGGGTTGTCAGCACTGGGACTCTCAGAAGGGAAATTTAATCTTTTGGAAGTAAAGTGATTCACTTTCCGAAGGACTCGCCATTGGGGACAGCATAAGTTTGCTTTCAACCTGCTTAGAGGTTCCTGAGGTTTGTGTGTCACCCTGGCTTCTACAGAGAAGGAAAAAAAAAAGGGAAAAGCAAGTGTCATCTTAGAAGTTTCTCGGTTGTGCCAAAAGATGGCAGCAAAGAGCAGCGTTGCCAATGCTCTGCAGCCTGGATCTCACTGCTGGCCACCCCTCTGGATCACATCACCTCCCCACCCCCACCCCATTTTCCAAGACTTTTCCTTTTCGTTTTCTGTGGTCAAGCAGGACCTCAAGCTAATAACAATGTGTCAAATGTTCTAGGCTAATCGTGATGAAAGCGATGTCGTGGACAAAGATCTAGCTGGTCAGGATGCCAAAGATCTGTATGACGTAAGTGTGCAGAGACGCGCCAGTCTCCGAACATTTTCTTTTTCATCTATTAGCCTTATTTTTGACAAATGTTTCTTTATATCATGTGAATGGGAGTTACTTGGAAAACGAGTATGATCTCTAGAATGTGCAGTATATGCAATCTTCATGAATCTAAAAGAATTGTCTCTATTCTTATACTCTGGGGTTAATCATTTCAGATCCATTTTGAAACAAGGAAAGATATAAATAAATATGTAAAGTATACTTGTGGTTTAAGAGCTTAAAGTATTTAGTCAATCAATTTGGCTTCTATCCAGGGCACATTTTCTAATTTCCCATAAGTGAGGCCTGGGCATGGCACTCATGTTCAGTCCTTTTCAAAATGTTTGCTTTTGACCCTCAAGGCAGGGGAAGGCCGCTGGGGCACTGATGAGCTTGCCTTCACTGAAGTCCTGGCCAAGAGGAGCTACAAGCAGTTACAAGCCACCTTCCAAGCCTATAAGACTGTAAGTAACCAAGTACTAGAGCAACCAAGTTCACACGGAAACAATTGAGTCTTAAGTTATTTCCAAAAGAAGCCAAGATCTGGCAGGTGGAACTAAGAGGATCTTTTACAATAGTGGTTCTCAGTCTGGGGTGATTTTGCCCCCCAGGAATATTTGATAATGTCTGGGTAACATTAGGGGTTGTCTTTCGGGGTATGTTTGGAGGGCACAGTGCTATTGGCATCTTGTGGGTCAGAGGCAGGGATGCTGCTGTCTAAAGGCACAAGGCAGCCTGCCACCAGCAAGAGCTCCCCAGTCCCAAGCAGTGCCGAGTTTGGGGAGACCTGCTTTGTAACGTAGGCTGGGAAAACAGAAGTGGCCAGTCTAGGGGCTAAGTCCTATGGCCAGAGGGGCCCAGTGTCAAATTCTGGTTCTACCCCTGTTAAGTGACCTGACGTCGCCATCCTCATCTGCAAAACAGGGGCCCTGACTGTCATCATCACACACTCCTGGGGTTATTTTACAAGTTAAATACAGCTAGTGTAAGAGGCTCAGGGAAGTATCTGGCATGTGGTAAACATACAAATGTTCACTATTATTAGCCCAGCTTACAGGTGGACTAAAGGGTCCACCACTTCCAAGATAGAGGTGAAATGCCTCAGAGATACAGTTCTGGAAAAATGCATTTCGATTACCTTTAAGTAATTGTTGTTTTTCAATCTATTGACAATTTTAGGCCAACATGGTGAGTTCACTATTTTCAGGCACTTCCCTGAAAGTCCTTCCCTGAAAAGTCCTTCCCTGAAAGTCAGGCTTTAATTGCAAGAAACCTTTTGTGGAATATCAGATTTTTTCCCCCTATTTTATATTTGCAGAGGGTTTTTAACTACTCAAAGCAATTCTGTGCTCTGTATCTCATTTCAACTTCACAATAATACCGTAACTATAATGTGGGCTGAACAGCCATTGTTACCCACTGTTGGACGAGGAAAGTCTGTTATGAGTAAGGAACCATCTGTAACTTATCAGGACCACACAGCAAGTCAGTAGCAGAGAGTGGATGAGAACTCCAACATTCCCCAGCCTGAGCTCCTACCTTGGCTAGAGCTGGCCACTCCTCACTCAAAATAGTGTTTTCTATGTGTTGCCAGCAGATGAAAAGACAATAAAACGTTGGAATTTTATCATTACTGTACATAAGCCTTTAGGGTCCTGTGCTTTCAAATCGTGCCCAGATTCGTGATCAAAGGCAGCTGCCCCCACACTCCCCTGGCCTCTGTGCCTCGAGCTGTGTCGACCCTGAGTTGAAGGACTTTTTCCATGACCTAGACCCTCTTCCCACGTGGCCAGGGCCATGCATGGAGTTTCTGGGTTTGGCTGTCATTGGTGGTCACTATAGAAACATGTGTGTGTGTGTGTGTGTGTGTGTGTGTTTACTACCAACAACTTGGAAGGATATTCTCCAGACCAATAGTTTTCAAAATTAATCCCCCAATAGCAGCATCAGTATCACTTGAGAACATGTTAAAAAATGAGTCCCCACCCTAAAATGACTACATCTCTGGGGCTGCAGACCTAAAGTCTGGGTTGTGGCACATGGAATTCTGCCAAAAACTTCCAGATGACAATGATGCATGTTAAAGTTTAAGAGTCCTGCCCTAGGCTACCAGCTGTCTGACCTTAGGCTGGCTACTGAGTTCTGTGCCTGTTTCCCCAGCTGTAAAATAGGGATAATCGTTACACCTACTTCTTAGAGGTAATAAGGATTCCATGAATTAACAGAATAAAGCTCTTAGAACCTGGCATGCAATAGATGTTCAATAAACGCTAGCAATTGTTAGGTGTCTCCCTGTGTGAACCAAGAAAGTCAACACTCAGAGCTAAAGCAAAAATGGACAATAAGATATTCTATAGATTTTAGTATTCTTTACAGGAAACCCAAACTCTAAAATTCTACCTGTTCATCTACTCCAATGGCCTTGTTGGAACATCATTCATCTGAACCTCTAGCATTGATTTGTAGAGCTTATCCTCACTTTGGACCCAGCTTCCACGAGGTTTCTCTTGGTCTATGACTAAAGCACTAAGTAACTAGCTTGAGGTCACTGGGGTGTATTGTGTGGCATGGATTTCCTGGCACAGAGTTGAATTTTAATTTTTGTTACAAAATCTCCAGTTTTTGCCCTTTATTTGTCTTCTAAGCCTGCGTCTTAATGACTGACACTCTCAGAAATGCAAGTCCAAGCAACAGCCCTTCCCCAGCCTTGCTGCAAGATGATTCTAGTCCCAGGGAAGGGGAACAGGGAGGTTTAGGTAGTTAAAACATCCAAATGAGTTCCCCAAACAGGACTCAATATAAATCATACACACACCCCCAGCCCCTCAAACCCCTCACTATTTCTGTGCCATCCCCCCACCACCCTTTTAAGCCCACTCCAGAGTCTTCAACTCTTTACTACCATAGCCCAAGCCAAGTGCATAAAGTGGGCATGCTGTCAGGTGGGGGGAATTGATTTTAAAAGAAAGAAATTTCTGCCCTGTTCCTCTAACAGTCTCCCTAGAGGCAGCACTACCAGGGCCTTGCAGCTTGTCTGGAATCTCCCTTCACAATGTGCTTTTGTACTGAGATCAGAAAACCTGGTTTGCACAGAGCTCCCTAAGAATGCAGCATCCCCATATTTGAAGTGAAAAGCCGGCCATTCCCAAAGGAGAGGCAGTAGCCTGGCCAGTCTGTTGTTTTCCATTTGTGTTCCAGGGCGCCCCTGGAGGTGCCTAGAACTACCAGGAGGGGGAGGGAGAAGGGGCAGTGCCATCTCGAATTGTGTGAATAGTGCCCCAGAGAGGCGAACGCAAGAGACCCCAGAGGGTGGAAACTGTTCCTGCCCAAGGCTAGGGTGAGGGGCCCACCTCCCACCTCCCCAACAACTGCTTTTATCTGTTACGGATTCTGAGCTTCTACAGAAAATCGACAAACCCTGGTGTGGCTCAGCACAAAGAATAGAAACAGAAAGTGATTGTGAGGAATTTTTCTAAGTGAATGCAGACCTGTGTGAGCACAACATCTTCCTGACATGCAATCTCGGTCTATAGAAAAAGAACCCTGTTCAGGCAAACAGGAGATATCAGTCCCCTCCAAAACACCAGCGCCCACAAACTCATTAAAAACTGGGGGCACCTAGGGGTGGGCAGGACTGACAGCCCCCAACCCAACCCCCTTCAAAGTGAGGTCCATTCCCCATACCAGGCCACTGGATGTACAAACCATGACAGAGATCTCGCAAGGGGCTTCACTAAATCTGCCCCCCCAACCCCCAAAATACACATCCTTGTGCATCCATCCCAAAGAATGTTTTTAAAATAAACTGCATTAACGTCGGTGGTGTGTCTACAAATACCCCCACCCCCAGATTCTTTATAGACTCACAATGGTGTTATAGCCTGAAAAGATCATTTCTAAGAGAGAAGTTTCGGTATTTCTAATACATGACTGCATTTCCCAAATCCAACACAGAGCTCTTCTTTCTTGTTATTTGCCTGCCCTGAGGCTGGCCAGGGCAGTACTTGTGTTAAACATAGTCACAATTTACTCTCAACTTCAGCTTCTGTAAATATTTGGAAAGAAACCTAATGTGTAACGCTGTGCAGAGCTGCCGGGGAATATAGCATTATGTGGAATCACCCCAGATAAAAGTGGCATTTGGACATGGTGGCCCCCCACTCCCAGTCCAGGAAGCCTCACTCCACCTGGGAATTTAGGCCAAGTCCTTACCGTGAACTTCACAGCTTCTACTTATTTCTCCCCAAATTTTGGCAACTAAGTCTTCAGTCCCAGGACAAGGTGGGGGAGGGAGGTGTGGGTGAGGTGATTATAACCACAGCCTCCTAGACAATTGGAGATGGAAGGAATTTAAATACACACACACATAGAGTAGAAACTAAAGTGCTATATAAACACAAAGAATTATTGTTATAGTTACACCAAGAATTATTCTCATCCTTTGTTCTTCCACTCCCTGATTTTACAGATGGGGAAACTGAGGCTGAGGGAAATGTCCTAGCCCATACCAGGTGGAATCCATTAGAATCTTTCTAGACTAACTTCCCAGAGCCCACACTTGAATGGGGGAGGCAACCCTGCCTCCTTCAGCCCTGCAAGTTCCAAGACAAGTATAGGGATTTCCTCCAAGTCACACCAAACAAAGCTGAAATAGTTTAGGGCTTTTGCTGAGGCATGACCCCAAGTACACCCAGGCCAAAAGCAAGACCTGGGATGATGGCTGCATTTTGTCTCTCCAGCTCACGGGCAAAGACATTGAAGAGGTCATTGAAGATGAAACCTCAGGAGATCTGCAGAAAACCTATCTGACTCTCGGTAAGGCAGACTAAGGGGACCCCTCTCTTAGGTGGGGTGGGGCTGCTTGGTGCCAGACTCAGAGAGGGAGGTGTGTGTGCAGGAAGGTTTTAGGGACTAGAGCAACACATCCTGGCAGGAGGGGCAAGGGAGAGGGTGAATGTGACATAGTTGCAACAAGGCTATGTCCATCTCCCAGGGAGCCCTGAAGCCCAGATGTCCAGGGCAGAGGTAAGAGGCCAGGTCATGGCACCCCACATCCAGCAGCCAGCGGAGCATCTGCAGTCTTGGGCAAGGCAACTCCCTTCTTGGAGGGCCATTCCTGTGGGGCTCAGCTGTGAGCAACTAGCAGACACTTGGTCCTGAAGGGGGCTTTGGGGGAATGTATCCATGACAGTTCCACTAGGATCATCCGTCCCCATGATCATCTGTCAACAGCCTGGGACCATAGTCCAGGATCAGAGGGCAGACATGGGGTTCGCACGTCGCACACTAAGGGTCCCTGGTTTCAGATCTATAAGTTATTGCACACGCCTGGTGGCTTAGAGTTTCCTTATCCTTGGTTCCCTTCAATGTTTGGAATGAATGAAGTCTCTTAAGAAGGAGGAGACAGACCAGCTCTGGACTGCGCCAAGCAAGCATCAGGACCTTCCTGCCAGGTGTTGCCCAGAGGCAGGAAATAGCAGGAGATGGGCACGGGCTGTGTCTGGCAGGTTCCCTTTTCCTTTCCGCCAAGCCTGGAATGAAGGCATTGTCCATTGTCCACACTCCTGTGCGGAGCAGGCCAGGGCACCGTCCCAAATGGCAGAAGAAATGGAGAGACGGATCCCCTGAAGAAGAGAAAGAACTGAAAAGCAGTCCTGGAAGTTCAAGAATGTGCTCTGGCTGCCAGACTGTTTTGTTTTGTTTGTATGTTTTTTTTCTCTTGTTTGGACCAGTGACAGCAATTGATGTTTTTTCGATCTATCCTCATTTTGCATTCAAGTTAGCAGGATTTCTCTGGTGACACACTGAGGTCGAACCACCCTTAGTGTCTCTCCTGACCTGTGCTGGACACACAAGGACAACTGTCCTCAGGGCTTAAAGGGAGAGACTCTTCAATATAAGACGAGATCTACTTATGGGTCAGCCTCAGGGGCCCTCAGTGCTCTCTGTCTGCGGTGCAGAGAATCTAGAAAATTAATATTACTCTTTATTAATGGTAATAATGGCAATAAAACATGATTTGAGTATTAATGGTAATAAAACCACTCAATTATCTGGCACTAGCTCAGCACCTGACTAGGCCGGCGGGGCCAGGTATGCGGACAGGAAGTCAGTAAGTGCAGGGCCTGCTCCGAAGCTTCGAGTCCTTGGCAGGTGACACAAATCAGCAGATTGGGCCACAGGGATGACCGAGACAGAAACAGCCAGAGCAGGGGAGTTCAGAGGGAGGAAAAGCCCAATCCCAGGAGACAGAGACCATGAAATGCAGGAGTTGGGTGCACCCCAGAGGGAGTGGGATAAATGGCCGTGAGAAGAAACCATGCAGAGCGGAAAACACTGTCATGACTACGTCCAGGACAGTCCGGCCAGCTGCCCCTCACTCATAGGAAGCCAGCTTACAGAGAACGTGGACAAGGGGCTGTGGGGCCCACGGATTCCCCCTCTGCTAGCTCCTGGAGCAGCACTTCTCAAAGTGGGCTCCGCGGACCCCCAGGAGTGAGAGACAGAGCGCAGGGGCTGCTGCCTGTCCTCCCCGGAGTGGGGTTCTTACCCCACGCGCTCCCAGCGTCCCCGGCCCACTGGTCAGGGTCCCGCGGCTGCTGAGCAGAGACGCAGCACATCACACACAGACTGTGCACCGTAGAAAAGTCAACGATTTGCTCCTCAAAACCTCAGGCAAAACGAATGTCAGGGAAGAAGCCCCTCCATGGGTGTGCCACAGCCGCCTCAACGTCTGTTAGAACCGCCCAGGAAAGGACCTGTGGCCTTGCGATGCCACTCACAGCACGTCTCGGGGTTACAGTGAGTCTCCACAAGCCGCCCCTTCGATGAACAGGTCCCCCTCCCACTGCCACCCATTCAGCAGCTTTTGAGATATTCTTGGACTAAAGAGGTCTGGGTCTGGACATTTCTTCGCCACTGAAACTCTGGTGGTGCCAGGTACCCTGCAAAGGAAGGAGACAGACCCCCCCAATCTAGACTCTGCTCCCCTAATCCTGTTCCTCTCCCCTCTTCCTGAGCATCAGTGTCCCAGAGAAATGTCAACAACCTAAAGAGTTGTTGGTTTATTCCCCAAAGAGTTAGTCACAATGACCCCTAGGAGCCTGGAGGGGGAAGGGTGACTTACCCCCAGTGGTAGAGATACACCCCATTGCTTGGTTGGTAAGCCAAAGTCACGCTTCATTATTTGGTGGTTTAGACTAAAGCTAGGAGCAGCTAGCAGCTAATGGGAAGGGGATCTGGAGGCAGGAGCATGTCAGCAAGCCCACCACCCAGCCAACCATGAAGACCCGGGGGAAGCCGGGAAAGAGGCAGAGATGAAACTCTCCTCCAAAGCCAGCAAGGCTAGACCAAGGGAAGGAGGCGGTCTAGCAGGGAAAGCAGGCCCCGTGTGACTGAGCCAACCCCCGCGATGACAAAACTTTGTCACAGCCAGGTCTCCAGCCCATCTGATTCGGGCCCAAGCTCAGTGGGGCGTCCCAGATTCGCTGGGCTGTTCCTGCGGGTGAGAATGTGAATTTGCTGGGAAGCCTGCACAGGGCAAGGTCTCAGCCTTCCTGCACCTACCAGGGGGCCTTCAGGGAATAGAAAAGGTTGAGGAGCCCAGATGCCTGCCTCAGAGGGGTCTTCCAGATCCCATTAGGTAACAAGAGGAAGTCCTCAAGCTGCCTGCCAGCTGAGTTGGCTCCCAGAGCAGGCAGGTCACACTCTGGCCTGTGCGTCCCTTTGGTGGTCTCCGTGCCACTGGGCACAGTGTGACTACCTCCCGTCTCTCTTCCCTCCTCCCTCCCAGTGAGGTGTGCCCAGGACCGCGAGGGCTATTTTGCTGACCGTCTGTACAAGTCCATGAAAGGTGTGGGGACCGATGAGGAGACACTAATCCACATCATTGTGACCCGCATGGAGGTAAGACGCCCTCGACTCCATGGGGGGCTGCCTCTTCTCCTTCTGCCCCCACTGATGTCATCAACACAGAGCTTCCATCCAGGGCCTGTTTACGGAAAGCACAGTGGAGACAGCCTTGGCCTTTCAGACTCTGTGGAAGACGTTGTGTGTGCTGTACTTCAATCTGTTTCTTTTTATAAAAATACAGTCGTGAGCGTGAGCGTTGCTTCTATTTTTGTCACTGGCGGCTCCGGAGAGCTCAGAGGGGGCCCCGTGGAGCCACTCTGCACGGCACAGCCATGCTCCGGCTCCGTTTGCAGGAGCACAAAACAGAGACCGTGAAAGGTTAGCAACAGATGAGGTCACCCAGCACCAGAGAGGGTGCGCAGACGATTTCCTGCTTCCGGGGCGAAGCATTTAACCGGCCCTCTCAGGTGCACACTTGTGCGCAAGAAACACATCAGTGTAAGACAATGTTTCTTAACCTTTTTAAATGATCCATCACCTCCGTGAGAATTCTTTTCAGATTCCACTTTTTTCTAGTCACGATCCACTTGCAAGAACTTTCATAGAGTAGATAGTATATATACCACAGTATATATTCTATGTAATTACAGTATACACTCTATACTCCATGATAGTTCATGTAACATATTACATTATACAATATCTATGATATAATATATAAACAGTATATCTGCTTATGGTCTGTATTTGTACAGATACTTTCACATGCCAAGATTAAATTCTTTCCACCCTCTAAGAGCCAATTTTTGCCCTCTCGGGAACCGTACCACCCCCTCTTTGAGAAGGCAGGAGTCTAAGAAAGGGACAGGGAGATGAGTAGCCAAAATCTTGGGCGCCGCTGTCAAGATTCACAGCAAATACTTCTGAATATAGGCCCACAGATAGAAGGAATTACAAAAGAACGGAGAAATGGCATTTCATCGGCAGCAGGAGAAGCAGGAGCAGTCTTTGGGGACTGAAGTGGAACCGAGCACTTGAAAACCACAGACCTCGCCCCTCAAAAAATTGTTTAATGAAGGGGGAAAGATACCAACCCAAATGCTGGACCACAACCTTTTGACAAATAACACTTAACATCTGACACTGTTTTTAAATATAACTTAGCAACGAGACCATTCTTTCATTTTTATTTTTATTCCTGGAATTTCTCCTCCCTCGCTCCCTCCTTTTTCTCCTCCTCCATGATTCACATTTTTCTTTCTCTTTTAATGTCCAGTTCTCTCCCTCTTTCTCTTCCTAGTGTCCCTGTTCCTGTCCGACAGTTCTCTCCACCCTCTTCTCCATTGCTCCAAATCACTCTTTCCTTAAGTCTCCAGGTCTCTGCCTTCTTTGTCTCTTAGCAACTCAACTTCCAGCCCAAGTCTTGGGCAGATCTGGAGGGACCCAAAGGAGCAAGTTGGTAACGCGACAGGGCAACGATTCTAAAATGCCCTCAGAGGCTTCGATTCTAAAATGCCCCCAGAGGCTTCTGTGTTCATGCCAACATACGCCATGGAGTGCTCATTCCCAGATGCTCCAGCCCATCTAAGCATTGCCCACATTTCCCGGGACATCTCCACTCGAGGACCACTTTCTCAGGATGCTCCAGGCCTAGTCAGATTAGTTGACTGGCCCCCTTAACCCCCAAAGTCACATGGTTATAGATCAGTGCCCCGATGTACTCCACCCCATCCCTGCATTGACTTCCCCACCACCCTCCTGTCCCCCCACCCCCCACAGCCAAGCAGCCTACAACCCAGGGGGCCAGGACACACACCCCCTGCGCCTGCCCTCGGGTCTCTCCTGCTCAGCATCCACTTGGAAAACTTCCTCCCTCTCCCACCTTCTCTTGCTCTTATCTTTCTCCTACTCAGCTCTCTAACTGGATGAAGAGAAAAAGAACCAGAAACCTGGGTGATAGTTTGTGGGTCTAGAATGCAAAATAGAGTGTAAGTCAAAAAACAAGAAATAAAACGAAGACAATACCAAAAATACCTTCCTGGTTAAAGAGAACTCTGTGCTTCCTTTATGATACTCATTACGTTCTACCTGGAGATTTATCCCTTCTGGCACAAAGGCCTGTTATCTGTTTATCATCTGAGTCCTCGCCCCACATGCCACTCCTAGGTTTTTCAAGTTTTTAACAAGTTATATTCAAACCAAATCTTCAGAACAATAATGATGTGAATTTTGTTGACTGGCCCTCATGTCTTTGCTGTCTGGGGTACAAGAGGAGAAAAAGGCTTCATTTCATATCTCTGGTTAAAGAGACAGGTTTTGTTTTTTTGGTTTTTTTAAGATTTATTTATTTATTTGTACAAGCACTGGGCACAGTCAGAAGCGCAGGAGGGTGAGAGAATTCACCAGAGCCAGAGCGGGGGGCAGAAGAGGCAGAGTGATGAAATACACCGCTGAGGGGAGCAGCGGGAGGCAGGAGAGGTCTGAGCGCCATGTGGGACCCTCGCCGGCGGCCGGGAATCGAACCGGCGCTGCAGAGGTTGTGGGCAGCTTCGCAGCCCAGCACTTAACGCAGCCCAGTGCTCAACCGCTGCGCCACCAGGGGAGGCCCAAAGAGACAGTTTTCTTAATCCAATACCTATGTCAGCCAGCCATGGTCTACAGGCCATCCTGGGCCCGCCACCTGTTTTTGTACAGCCCTACTCCCTAGGAATGACTTATTTTAAAACAATTTAAACACTCAAAAGAAAATATTTTCTAACCATAAAAATCATATGAAATTCGAGTGTTAGTGTCCATAAATAAACGTATCCTGGAATGTCTATATACACACCTACACAGACAACACCGCAGTCTTTGGGGAGCGGAACGCTGCTTTCTTTTTCTCTTGCATACAATAGAAATAGCCCCTACTAAGGGTTGTTGGAGGTGTAAATGAGCAAGCGAGAATTATGTGCTTAGAACAGTACCCGCTGCATTTATGGTAAATATGCTGTAAACATCCTTGTCCCATTGCTGTGGTCATCTCTCCTACAGGTGGACCTTCAGAGGATAAAAGAAAAGTTCCAAGAGAAGTATCAGAAGTCTCTCGCTGACACGGTTCGCTCGGACACATCTGGGGACTTCCAGAAACTGCTGGTGGCCCTCTTGCGCTGAATGAGGCCAGAGCCGTGGAACACAGAGCTCCTTCCAAACCAGATTGGCAAAGGCAACTCCAGCACAAAAACCCCCAAGAGTCCTAGTTCATTTTCTTGGCAGCCTGAATAATGCAGCAAGGCTAAGCTGTTTAAGTTAAGAGCATCAGCCTCTAGAAGCTTGGGCACCAGCTTAGCAAGTGTCTGGGCAGCTTAAACTTTCCTTAATGTGGTAATGGGTTGCTTTCTAAGCACACGTGAAATCAGCAGCTGATGAAGAAACTGCGTTTATAAGACATTTAGAAGAATATGTTTTGCACACGATTGTGTATGTTCTGGGTAAAGAGTGAATGGTTAAGGAACAGGGAAGACAAAATTAACCAATTAATGAATTTTCCTTCAGTGTGTTCAATTTCAAAGCCTCATTAATTAAAGTTGTGGATTATGGCTCCCTCAGCTGCTTTTCCAAAGACTGGTTTGATTCGTCTTGGCTCTTGTCCTGGAAATAGATAACTGATCACATTCAGACATATACTGGAAATGCAAACAGTTACATTTACTAGTAATCACCAAGGGTAGTAATGGAAGTGGACAGATGGAAACAATGGATTTGCCTGTGTAAAATGTCACTAAAGGTAAAATTCATGAACTGCTACCTGGTGTAATGGTTATTCTTGCATTTGACCCACTGGAGTCTTCTTCAACTACAATTAGGCTGAGCACAGTGCCAATAGGATCAAGGTCAAGAGAATTGGTTCCAATAGGTTCTCTGTTCCAGGATGTTTGTTTTATCACCATGTGCGGCTGGACGTAGCAGGGTCTGTGAATAGGATAGGACAACTTGGTCCAATAAATATAGTCATCATTCATTGGGTGATTACTTGTTCCTGGCATTACAAAGTAACATATATTCATATTTAATCCTCCCAAGGCCTTATGAATTAATACCATTCCCTGTTATCAGTGGAAGATGCTGAGAGTAACAGTTCTTTTCCAGGTCAGTAATGTTGACAGGTGCTTCCAATAGGCAACAGGAGGCAAGCTGTGCATTAAGTAGGGCATGCATGCACTATCTGTGAGTTGGAAGGACAGATCTGTCCTGGGGGAACTGGGGAACATTTCACAGAGAGACATTCATGGTGTGTTTCACAGAATGCATGGAAGTTCTTCAGAGAAACAAAGAAAGCAAGGGTTAAGACGCAACCTATGAAGCTATCTGCAGGCACTGCAGCACGAGTTCAATGCCCAGCCAGCCAGGGAGCAACCCACATGGCACAGCAGCCCCCTCCTGGCATGCCCGCTGCTCCCCTCAGCAGTGTACTTCAGTCCATCTGCCTGTTCTGTTCCCCACTCTGTCTCTGGTGAATCCTCTCACCCCCCACACCTCTGGCCTGTGCCCAGCTCTTGTATGCATAAATAAATAAATCTTAAAAAAAAAAAAAAGCGCACAGCAGGGGTTTGGAAGCCCGAGGCAACAGGATGTACTCCATTGTCCTGGGAAAAGATGTGGTGAAAGGAAGGAGAGGGTTTGGGAGGTGATAAAGCTGCTGAAGTTTGAATCACCTTAGCAGTGGCCTTGCCTGTCAAGCATGGACCTGCTCCTTTGGACAATGGTGGCCGCAGGAGATAGTTGAGTAACTGAGAACTAGGATGGGATCTTTATGTGTCTAATCAACATAGAGCAAATGGCCCAAACCCTCTGCATAAGGACACATATCATTCTGTGTCTTCTTAGAGGCTAAAAAATGGTGACAGTCAAATCAAGAAATATGTCAACAATCAAGTCATTATTGTCCTGATGAACTTTGACACAAAAAGGTGTTTTTCTAGAATGAAGTTTAGTGACAAAGCATACTCCTGTTTACTTACATGCTGCTGAAGTTGGTCTTTTCATATAAAGACAGACACAAGAAACAGTTTTTGGGATCTGAGCTCATAGCAAGGACAGAAAACAAGGACCAAAAAGAGAGCTATTAAAAACAACCATTGTTTGAGACAGCACAGAGACCAGCCAGGACAGCCAGGAAGATAGGAAAGAACAGGGGTGGTCTCGGAACCCCTGGACGACCAAAACACTGGATGAGGTATGAGGGGCCAGAGCGAGGGGTAGTCAGCACCACCCTCTGTAACTGTACAGCTATGCTTTGTTTCCTCGTTCTGTATCTACTTGTTTAAAGAAAGTCACTGTGCACTGACCTTCTTTTAAGGGGGAAGGGGTGATGGCCCATCTGCTGAAATGGTGGGGGGATGTCTACATAAATTATCTGAGATTCTCTGTACAGAGATTTTCTGTTCTCCCCCATTAATTTATTTATTCCCCAATTTGTTGTAACAGTATAGACTTAAGGATATTTATTTTGTACTTTGGGTTATAATCTAATACGACACTCTTCGTCTGTTGCTTGAGTTCCTCTAGCTCTGTCTATTGAGAGTTTAGTTGGCTCCTGTGTCCTTTAGACATATTCCCTCACTTTGTTTTTTGAGTAATTTTTTAAATTTCTGTCACACTCTGAGTTGTTCCAGGCTGATCTTGAATATTCCCTTTCCTGGCCCTAGAATCTGCCATTTCTCCAAGGAACCCTAGTTCCTTGTATGAGGGAATGGTGTTGGAAACCAAGATCCTGGCACTGGTGTACTCATTGCTACTGGGGTGTCATTGCTTCTAACCCACCCAGAGTTAGGGAATATTAACCTATTGTACGCATGCATGTAGATCGCGGATATAGGCAGATGTAAAAGTAGTTATAAATTATGTAGACATGGATGTAGATCCATCTGCATCTATATTAAACATGACTTCTTATACTGTCTCAACTTTCACCCAGTACTACATGGTTTAGGCCAAAAGGGGGGCCTTGGCATCTTGAAAACAGCACAAGAAGACAAGAAAATGTGGGGGGTGAGGGAGGGGAGAGGGGGCAATTTCTGAAGTTAAGAGCCACAAGAAGACCTAAGTAAACCATGTGGTGTCCTGCTGTGCCCTCATTGTCCTTTCCACATGGTGGAGTTTGTGTCCAAGGACTGGAGAGAAAGGGCCAGGTACGCCCACGGCCAGCTACCCCAGGAATCATCTCAGGCTTTGAGAGACTGCTCCAAAGCTTCTTTGCAACTCAACCAGAAATACTGATGGCTTCTGTTGCCAAGGTAACCGACTCCCAGTGAGCTTAACATGTGTTCCAACATCAGTACCATTCAAGGGGGCAGGAAGGCAGAATCTTCAGCATCAGACTCAAGAGCCAGTAGGGGTTTTATCTCACTTTCTTGCTGTTGGTGATTTTTGGTCCCTATTAGTCCCTAGTTGGTGTCACTTCAGGATCATGCTGAACAAGGATAGCTTGGGTCAAAAGAGGCTGGAAGCTTTTTTAAGACTCCTAGCTAGAGTAAAAAAAAAAAAAAAAAAAAAAAAACACACACAACACACAGAGCAATAACAAAAACAGCACTGGTTTTGAATTGTTCCTCACTGTGCATAACGTGGACCAGCAGAATATGACTCATAAACCAAAATGGACACACTAATTGGCTGAACTCTGAACCCAACCCAGTTATTCATCTTGTTTTTACTGCACTGAAAACAAAATCAAAATTGTTGTTTTTAAAATCCTACTGAACCCGTTCAAATTAGAACCAGTCTTTAGAAAAGGTTAAGCCAGAAGGAAAAAAATCAGAGAAGCAAAATCATTTTTGCACAAGTGTTTTCATTCATGTCTGGGGTCTGCTATATACACATATGCCCTGTACGTGTATTTTGATCAGTAGGAGCTCTTTGAACTGCCTCCCACTTCGGGCTCTTGCCAGGTTAGCCAGCCTGTCCTACTCTCTCTGCAGAATCCACAGGGGCTTTTCCTTGATCTTCTGGTGTGGGAGACTGGTAGGTGAGTGGGTATGATGCCCTCACTCTTCTGATGGATCACATGCTTGGCATGAGTGGGTTGTATTTGCTCCCAAATCTGCTTATACCTATCATATTCATTACTGCAATTACATCATTTAAGTAAATATTAAATAAACCGATCAACCATGAGCACACAAAGACTTCATGTTTCCAGGAAAGCTAAATAAAATGCTCTGGAAAGACTAGAGAAAGGTGTATTGCATTTAAAAAAAAAATTTTTAAAGAATAAACAACATCAAATGCCCATCAGAGGTTTATTCTCAAAGAAAAAATTCTCAGTAAATCCACGTCCTTTTGAAGGCTTTATATGAAACATAAAATTAAGTTATGTATGTTTTATTGCAATGACGTCTGCTTTGGCTTAGCTACAAATGGCCGATTGCTCTCAACTGTGTCAGATAGGAGGGTTTCTGTGTACACCCAACTTTTCTTTCTTCTGAAACACTGACGTGTCTACAACGATTGCACAGGCTCATCTTCTGGTCAGAGACCTCCTAATACCAAACCCTCTGTGGAGTCAGTGATGAAGAGCAGGATCTGAGGTCAGAGAAAGACCAGGGGAGCCCCTGGCTGCTCCACTTGGGGTATGTCACCGTGGAAAGCCACTTTGCCCTCCTGAGACTCTGCATCCTTATATGTAAAACAGGCTCACAACAGTTCAGAAGACCTCCTTCTTAGGAATCCAAAGCAAAAGAGGCTTCATAAATGAGACCCCTGCTACTTTCAGAAAGAACAAGGCAGCCCTGCCTGCTAACCAGAGGTATCTCTGGAGGTCACCGATTCGGTATCATTTTGAGCTTCCCCAAATGACAGCAGCACAATTACATTTGTGTATAAGTAGGGGAGCCATACCTATTAAATGGAGAATTATTAGATGGGATAAAGCATCGATGTGGCTTAAATGAGATATGTATTGAAGTCTTTAGCATGGAGATGAGCCGAGCTAAAGGCCCTCAACATGTTGGCTGTATTGCTATCTAACCAAGTCACCCCGTCTGTGCTGGGGTGGCCACCCCAGAAATGGAATCATGAGACAGTTGATGACACAAGGAGGAAATCTAAGGTGCAGGTGCCAGGTGGAGAGAGCCGATGCCCTCCACCCTTTCTCACCTGGGTAACCCACAGACAGGTGTTCGCCCCACCTAGTCATGTCCTTCCTCCAGGCAATTTCCCAACCCCAGCAAGCAGGCCCACCCCTAACTACACTCTCCCACACTGGCCCCAGGCTTCTGGCCCCAGGAAAGTATATGCCACTCACACCTCAAGTCTTTACAAGGCCTGTTTCTACTGGGATGTCCAATTAGCACTCCATACTAAATGCATGCAAAGAAAAATGTAGATTTTTTTCCCCAAAAAAACAAATTCCTTTCTCTAGCTTGCCTAGAACAGCCACCACCTCCAACTACCCAGTTACTCAAGCCACAGTCACCTTTGAGTCCTCCCATCCCTTACTTCTCATAGACATAGGTGCCTAGTCCTGTTCCTCAAAATATATTCCTCTTCTGGGCGAAGCACCCAGGAACAGAGAGATTCCATCCACCACCACCCCCATAGCCACCTCTCCAGGTTAAGCCTCTGCCCCATCCTCTTGGGCACCTGCGATGACTTCCTGATCACATGTCCGGCTTCCCCACTTGTGTCAGTTCTGACTCCATCTGAAATGCCCACTCGCCCCCCTTGCTCACCAGACGCTGGCTATACCGGGTTTTTTCTGTTCCCCACACTTGTCATGCCTCAGGTCTTCTGCACTCCTGGTTTCCTCTGTCCAGACCTCCCCTTCTCCCAGACCACCCCAAGAGCAATCTTGCACACATGGCACCTCCTCCAGTGGTTACCAAGTCCTCTCCTATCAAATCCCACCCCAACACTGCCTCATGACACACCCAAACTCTTCCTCTAACATGATCTTGTATTGCATCCACCAAAATGATCTTGTTTCCTTGTTCATTGTCAAGC